TCTTTTTGCTGAGGAAGACCGGCTCTGAGCTAACATCTATTGCCAATCCTCCTCCTTTTTATCCCCCCCCCACAAAGCCCCAGTAGATAGTTGTACGTCATAGTTGCACGTCCTTCTAGTTGCTGTATGTGGGACGCGGCCTCAGCTTGGCCAGAGAAGCAGTGCCTTGGTGCGCGCCCGGGATCCGAACCCAGGCCGCCAGCAGTGGAGCACACGCACTTAACCGCTAAGCCATGGGGCCAGCCCAGCCATGCTCTTAAGATTCATTTTATTCAAGAATAACTTACGAAATTCTCCTTAAGAAAGTAAAGCTAAGACGTTGCCTTAGAGTGTATGTAGAAAGGGATTGTTTTATTCTGTAAAGAAGAGAGCAAAAATATTTCCTGATGCATAAAAGAATATATTGGTTAATATCAACCTAAAAAGTATCACCTCCAAATTAATTTATAGTAATTTTATATGAGACCTATCCATCTTGACCTCTTACTTACATTTTTCACTGTGAAGTCTCTGATGGTCCATTCCGGAAGAACAGTTTCTGATGTCATTGCCACAGTGATGTCCCCGTAGTCCTGCGCCTGCTTGGAGGGCCAGTACTCCTCACATTTGGTCTAGGATAAAATTGGATTCTTATACAAAGACTCAGATCACACCGTCTGCCATCACTATAGCCTCACAAAGGAGACCAGATATTGAAAACTGAATAGTACCTTAGTTGGGTTCTGTTTTGACGCTTACAATAGTTTTAATTCATAATTTATATGTTTACCATTTATAATTGTTGCTAACTCTTAAAATTGGGAGTTTTCATAAAAATCCAGATTACTGGCTTCTCTTGAAAAAATCAGAATTTCTGGCCATTACGGAGCCCACATTTCCACATGAAAACTGATTTAGAGGCACTGTCCCTTCGCAAGGGGACAGAGTGCCCACCCAGCTCCCTCTGGCCTCGACAGTAGCCACTCCACAACTATTCACCGAATTAAACTTCTCCGATTGACCTATAACCCCAACTAGACAGACGAAACGACAACTCTACCCAATTCTTTTAGATACACATGAGTTGCAATACAAATACAGACACCAATAAAAGGACCCAATGAAATCATTCTGGAGTCTTCGATTTTTATAAAGTCAGTGGGCAGATGTGAATAGAGATGAAAATCAGGAAACAACTGCTCCCTAAAAATATCTGAACCCCTATTTGGCAAATGACTTAAAACACACATGCACACACAGACACACACACACCTCCCTTCCCAAGATGTGCCCCACTGCAGGCGATTTCCAAACCTGATCGATTACCTGGCTCACTTGGGAGGTTTGTTTTGCTTTAAAAACAGATGTCTGGGTCCCACCCCCAGAGATTCTGACTCTGGCGGGGGATCTGCATTTTTTTGAAAGATCCCGGTTTCTGGACCCCTGCTTCAAGAAAGAACATGGGACTGGGACACACACTGACATGGAGTTGATGCCCAGCTTGGTCTCTAACCAGCTGGATTGTTGTTGCTACCTCGTGGGCAAGTTCTTAAACTCTCTGAGCCTCAGTTTCCCCAGCTATAAAATAATTACACCTCACGGGGTTGTTATAAGAAAGAAATAACATATACAGAGTATCTAGTGCAGAAAATACACTGGCTCCCTTCCCCTTCCACCCAGGGTCAGTAACATCCACTCCTCTCCTGACTTAAGATGAACAGGGGTCCATCTAAATTCACTTTCCTGTTCTCTGTTAACTATGTCATTTTTGTTTGTCTAACACATATTTTGAGAATGTTCCATGTGTGAGGCCACAGGCTCCATGGCGCCATAAATTTTTCTGTGTTCATAAACAATGTTCTTTCATTTGTCTAAGAGCCTGTTCTCCTGATGCAAAGAAGTGGGTGCAGAACCCATCCTTCTGCATCACAAGTAACGTGAAGATGGGACCATATCTTCCTGCTCTGTGTTACCTCCCCCTCCTCCATCCCCAGCCCCTGGCACAGGACCATACACATACTTGGGGCTGGATAAACATCTGCTAAATTAAAGCAAAATAAAGAATATTAAGAGAAATGGTGCCTGATGGGTTCCCACTATCCCCTAGGACGGTGCTACTCAAAGTGAGCACCCTGGAGCATAAGAGGCAGCAGCACCTGGGAACTGTCAGAAATGCAATTCCGGGTCCCACCATAGACCTGCTGAATTAGAAACTCTGGAGGCAGAAGCACCTTCCAGGTGATTCTGCTGCACAGTAAAGTTTGAGAACCACTGGCTCAGGGACTCGACTCCTATCCTATTCCTCAAGTAACAAACCTACGTGAAAATATTCACAGAGCAACATTGCGTCGCATTCCTCAGGCGCAGATTTGATTAATTTAGCACGTTTTTCAATTCTCCTTGATCCATTTATGGAAACATAGGTTATTATTACTAGAAGAAATCTTATCTTTGATGGAAGTGGCTGTGGGATTCCAGGCCATGATGGGGGCAGGGAACTCCTGAGACTTATCTGGGGAGAAGTCTGAGGTGTGGTGTCAAGAAAGGGTTCCAGCGCTAAAAACTAAGTCTGAAAATCACCGAGTTGGGCCAATCCCTCATCACACAGATGAAGACGCTGGTTGCTTGGAGATGCGACGGGCGCGCACCCATCCACAGAGCTAATGAAGGATGCAGCAGCACTATAAGCAGCATCTTCCTGCTCCAGGCCTGAGAGCTTCTCCACTGCACTCACCCAACTCCTGCTTTTTAATAACCCCAGCAGCAGCGACTTAATGAACAAAGAACATTGATATTTACCCACAAAGGAAGGGAACAATAAAGTAGATTTTAAACTTTTCTCTCGGCGAAGAAAAAGACTGAAAACAAGTTTCTAAGAACAGAGGTACCAATGTTTGAAGGAGTGTTATTTCTAACAAGACCAATGGTTTTGAAGATATTTACCCTTCCACCACGGTAACAATGAATTAATTCATTTCATAATCTTTCTTAAAAAGGTACTCACCCTTCCCTGTTCAACACACTTGGTCAGCATAACAATGGCATATACATTTTTCTCCCAAACCATACGCCAAAAATCTTTCAAGGTGTTGGGTAAAGGTCCTTGCGTGGCAATAAAATCTCTCTTGGAATGGTAGCCCTAAAAATGGGAAGCAACACATTTTTAATCTCAAAGACAGGGAAAAAGGAGCTCTGAAGATTTCATCCTAAGGAGCCAGTGCTCTGAGAATCTCCCCACTTACAGGCATGTAGTTGGCATTGATGTAATCCTCAGTTGAATGGTTCTGGGCTGAAAGCTTCACACGGGAAATATCATCTATGACATTAAGAGAAAAAAGGTCCTTATTAGGAGTAAACGTTTAGGAGAGTTACATACAAGAGAGAAAAAAGTACAAAATGGCACCACGAGGCTTCTGTCACACCTTGAAGGTGCATAGCTTGGCATTTTACATATATGACCTTATTTAATCCTCGCAGTCACCATATGTGACCATGGCACACAGAAGGTACATGATTACCTGGGCGGAGCTAGAAGTGGCAGAGCCAAGGTTTGAACCCCAACAGCCTGGCACCAGGGCCCAAACTCTTAACCACGCCAGACCACCTTCTCAGACAAAACAAACCTACTACTATTAGCATCCTAGGTTGCGTGCCCTGAGCCATGGAATGCCCTAAGAAATTTTATTCTTCAAAACCACCCTACAAGATTTTATGCCCATTTTAAAGATGAGGAAACTGAGGGTCAGAGAGATTAAGTGAATTCTCCAAGCAACATTTGGTAAGTGGCAGAATTCAAATCTAGTGCCTTTCCACTAGGAATAAATAAAATTGTTCTAGTAGGTAGACATCCAGCTTAACCTTTCCACCCTTTTCACATTTTCTCAATTCTCATAAAAAAGTTATTATAAAAAGATGGTACCAACTTAAGAATAAACTGAATGTAAAAGATGACTGAGTGGCAGGATCTAAAACATAAAATTCTCATGTTTTCTAAATAATGTCATCTCACCAGCTTAGCTTTACAAGCATTTCTCTCAGAACATGGGTCAATGCCTGCTGTCAATACCATGGGGGAAAATGAGCAGAAAGAAGGCAGGAGCTAGAAAATCCTGAATCTAGACAGAATTAATGTCTTAGGCCAGCAAAGAAAAACACAGCTTCAAATAAAAAAAAATGTCTTCAAGTGTCCTGGTATAAAAAATTATCAGTAAAGCCTATAAATTTGGGCTAAATCAGAACAAAGCTGCGATCTACAGACACATCTTTCTGTGCCCTAATTCCCACCCAAAAGAGAAGCCGCAAAGAACCTTCTATGGACAAGGGTTTACATTTTGTCTTAATGGATGATGTAGTAAATGATTCTCATTTTAAACCCGATTTGGTGTGATCCCTGTGGGTTAGGCTACAGACATTGTTAATTCTCAACGACAGGAAGGAATCCTAATATACTTCATATTTAGCTGTGGAAAGCACTCAGCCAACCAGAGACGTGTCTGGACAAGCAGAAAGTGTGACTCCTGCCTGTCCTCTTCCCGTTCCCTTTCACTCCAGAACTATGTTAACTGAAATAAAGGGGCTGCAAGATAGAGGGGCTAAGAGCACAGACTTTGGCCTTCTTCCTGAATGACACTGACAGACCTTGTCCTGCCACAAACATCTGTGTGACTTGGAACAAATCAGCCGCCCACTCTGTGCCTCATTTTCCTCATCTGCAAAATGGATACTCTACAAACTATTTCATAAGGTTCTCGTGAGGGCTGAATACAACGGAAGAGGCCTGAATCAGCACTTAGCACGTGCTAGGTGACTAATGAACAGTTGTGGAAGTGGCTGGTTAGTCCCATTGATGCCCCGCCCCCTCTACTGTTAGAGCTGTGACGGCCAATGACAGAAAAAAAAAGGGAAGATAATGTGGATAAACCAACTTACAGGGCAGAACATTATTATAGCGATTCTTTCCTCTATTCTCAGCCAGTTCAGCTGCATATTTAGGTAGACTAATTCCAACAAGCTTCAGATCCTAAAAATAAAACAAGTGAGTTCTTCATTTATTTAGTATTCAGATATTACACCTACTGAACACAGAGTATTACAGAATAAAGTGAGAATGCAGGAATATTACGGATTAAATCCTGTCCCCCAAAAAGATATGTTGAAGTTCTAACCCTCAGGACCTGTGAATTTAAGCTTATTTGGAACTACGGTCTTTGCAGATGTAATCGAGGTAAGATGAGGTCACACAGGAGTAGGGTGGACCCTAAATCCAATATGACTGATGCCTTCATAAGAGGAGAAGAGACAGTGAGATACAGACACACGAGGGGAGACAGCATGCGGACATGGAGGCAGGCATGGGAGTCATGCTGCCAACAAGTCAAGAATGCCTGGAGCTTCCAGAAGCTGGATGAAGCCAAGAGGGATCCTCCACTAGAGGCTTCGGAAGGAGCATGGCCTTGCCCAACACCTTGATTTTGGACTTCTGGCCTCCAATATGAGAAAATAATTTTCTGCCGGTTTTTTTTTGTTTTGTTTTGTTTTTAAATTCTGTCCCTTTTCTTCACATTTATAGTCATGATGTTTTTTATAATTTTATTTATTTTTTCCCCCAAAGCCCCAGTAGATAGGTGTATGTCATAGCTGCACATTCTTCTAGTTGCTCTATGTGGGACGCGGCCTCAGCATGGCCGGAGAAGCAGTGTGTTGGTGCGCGCCCGGGATCCGAACCCAGGCCGCCAGCAGCGGAGCGCGAGCACTTAACCGCTAAGCCATGGGGCTGGCCCCTTTTCTGCTGTTTTAAGCCACCAGTTTGTGGTGCTTTGTTATGGCAGCCCTCAGAAACTAATGCAGAGATTAAAAGAAAAGGGAAACCTTGCCTTCAAGCAACTTACAACCTGGGAGAGAGGTGTAGACAGAAATAACTAACTTTACAACATGGCAGAATTAAATTAATGCTGAATATCAGTAACAAGCAACAAGTCACAGGTGAAACAGGCATGAGGACAGAGAATTCAAGTCCTCCTGCTGGCATCAGAGAAAATGACCCAGAGAAGGTGACCCTGCATAGTAGGTTGAATGGTGGCCCCCAAAAGACGTGTCCACATCCTAACCCCTGTAACCTGTGAATGTGACTTTATTTGGAAAAAGGGTCTTTGCAGATGTAATCAATCTAAGAATCTTGAGATGAAATCGTCCTGGATTATCTAGGTGGGCCCTAAATCCAATAACAGGTGTCCTTATATAGGACACACAGAGAACAGACATAGAGAGAAGAAGGAGAAAACAGAGACCGAGATTGGAGTGACACAGCCGTAAGCCGAGGAACGCTGTAAGCCACCAGAAGCTGGAAGAAGCAAGGAAGGATACTCCCCCTAAAGGCTTCAGAGGGTGCACTGCCCTGCTGACACCTTGATTTTGGATTTAGCATAGCTTCCAGAACTGTGAGAATAAATTTCTGTTGTTTTAAGCCTCCAGTTTGTCGTAATTTGATACGGCAGCCACACGGAAACGAACACAAGCGGTAAGGAGGATTTCAGTAAAGGCAGAGACGCTGCAGCAGGAGGGCAAGTGTGCAGGGCCTTTGGGGGTGGGGGGGTAGGGTGGGGCCAGTTCCTGGGCTGGTTTAGTGGGGAGAGCATATGGGGACTGAAAAGCAGAAACTCTTTCTGTAAGACCTCACATAATCCTCAAGAGCCAACCTGGACCACACAGTCATCAAGCCCCAGCCCCCTAAATGCCCCATTCTGGTTTCTTTCCAGCTCATGTAGCCTCCTAATTATTCTAGTTAATAGCCCTCTAACTTGAAATCCCAGCTTCTATATCTCTCTGGATAATCTTCAGGTATCAACAAGATCAGACATATAATCCACTGGAAGGAAGGGACGTCTTAGCGCTCACAGCCAACTCGGCAACAGCGGGACCCCTGGGGGAACATGCAGGAGCTTCTCTCTCCCCTCCAAGAGGGCAGCCTCTTACCCAAAGCTTCACCATAAAACAAAAATGGGCAGTTTTCCAACTTCCAGGAAAAACATAAAGCAATTAAAAACACAATATTTACAACCACATACCTCGTATTCTTCCGCAAACCCACAGTTGGAGTCTGCTTGCTGTTTGTTAAAGTAGGCTTCAAAATTCTCCACTTTGATTAATTTGGATCTAAGAAAACAAAATGATGTATTAGGATTTTCTACATTCAATAAAGTTCATACTCAAAGTAGAAAAATACAAGTTATAAAAAAATTCAACAGGTTACTCACTTTTTAGGTCTTCATCATAGAAAGGGAAAGAAAAAAAAATACACAATTAGAAAAACTAACTCAAGCATGACTCTGGAGATGATAGTAAACATCTTCCCAAAAGAACAAAAACTATAGTATAATTTGGGGGCTTTGGGGGAGGGGTCAGTATAATGTTATTTACAAAACACTGAAATGTGAATCAGGAAATCCGACTTCTAGACTTATGTAACTGATTGGCTTTGTGACTTTGAGCAAGTTCTTCTCTCCTCCTAGATCTTGATAACCCATTTTTTAAATCACAATATATATACTGACTGGCAGAATTCTTGGTAGAATATGACAACTATAATAGAATATGGCAGGAAGCTAGCTTCAGCAGCCTAACACAGATTCCTTACAGAATAACAAAGCCAGCAAGAACTTCTGGATGATCACGGCCAAATGTGTCAATCAGGAAAAATGACAGCAAGTTCCATCAAAAATCCCCTATGTAGTCACTGAACAGATGGGGGGATTAAATGTCTTAAAATTAAGCTCGTAACTGGAGAGACTTACTTAATTTGAGAAAAGGACACTTCATTGTTCTTTGCATCTTTCCTGTGTTGAAAGGAAAAAAAAGACCCATTAGACAAACAAAGGTTAATTCCGTGCTTCGTTCCTTTCATGTATCTACAAAATGTATTTTCCCTGGACATCAGTTCATATACAACATTAAATCCTGCTCACTGATACTAAGCTTAATGGTCTAATCAGCAAACTCTGATGACAAATCTGTGAAGTCACTCTCTTTTATACCATCTAAAAGTATGGGAGAATCTTACTTAAGCAACTTTTAGAAATCTCCTTGGGCAAATACATGTATCAGCAGCATTATCATATTGTAAATTGAGACTCATTTCATACTCTGCTTTTGAGGAAGGCTTTCTGATAAGTTACTGGAACAAACCAGAAAATACATCCAGTGTTGGCAGGTGGTAGGGCACCTGGTACGTTCCTGCACTGCTGGCTAAACTCCTTATTAGTATTTTTAAAAAAACTTTCTGCAAGGCAATCTGGCAGTACAAAATTGAAAACACGCATCCCCAGCAACCCAGCAACTGCCCAGCCTGGAATTAGCCTAAGGAAATAATCACGAATGTGCCCAGTGATTTAGGCACAAGGATAAGTAACTATGAGTAAAAAAAAAAAAAAAAAACTGAAAACATCAGGAAATTGGTTAAATAACATCCATACAAGTGAATACTCTGTAGCTACTTCAAATGAAAAAGAAATGGAGCCTCCACAATGTCTTAAGTGAATAACGCAGGCTAGAAAATCATATGTATAGTATGATTCCATTTGTGTGTGTGTGCATTTGTGCATGAGTTTCGTAATCATATCAATGTTAGGAGCTTTGTGGGGATGCTGTGATTATGGGTTATGTATTTTCTTTGCTCTTCTTTTCTATATAAGCAGGCATTACTTTTATTTTAACAAGAAACAATAAAGCTGTTTTTGACCCCTCCCATGCAAAAGAAATCAGAATCTAATGCAAAAAGCTGGAACACAGCACTGCCTGTCAACAGCGCGGCAGAAGAACCGGGCGGAGCCGTGTTAGAAACCCTGGGCCAGGATGAAAATCCCCTGGCTGGCAGCACCTAATGACAGAGAATGACTCCCAGCTGACACACAGGCTTCACACACCACACGGTGAGGCGAGAGGCTGTGCGATGAAGAGCAAAGACCAGGTTCAAGTCTGCTTCCACACTTCCTACACTCAGCTTCTGCATCCTTGCAATGGGGCTTACAAAACCCACCTCACACAGCCTCGTGAATGAGAGAATTCATGGAAAATACAAATCCAGGAACACTGTAAGTGCTCAAAACAGAGTTGCTATTTTTACTATTTACCCACCCCAAAAGGCAGTTGTGGAGATTAAATAATAATAATAGCATATGAGGTACAAGACACTGTCGAAGCACTTTAATGCTCCTCGGCATCACAAGTAGGCATTGTTATTATCCCCATATCATAGATTATCATAGACATTAAGACTAAGGTCCCTAACAGCCAGTCAGAGATGGAGCATGTGTTCAAACTTAACCAACTCTAAAACAAAACCTCTTCACACTATGAAACTGACTTGTGAACTGGAACGTTTGACAGTAGCACCCGACACTGCAGGGTTTACCCATGACCAGATGTCAGGGCTGAGATCCACTTTAAAATCCTCCAGCTTGGGGGTTGGGATGAAATAAGACTGGCCAGAGAGTCAAGACTGTGGATGATGGGGACATGGGGGCTCATTACACTCTTCCTTCCAGTTGTGTGAACATCTGAAACTTTCCATAATAAAAAGCTCCCTTGAAAAGTAGGGTCTTATTATGAACATAAGCAATAGTCACCTTTTCTTTCTCCAGAAGATGAAGGCTCCCACAGCCACAATAACCAGGGCACCAAAGATACATCCAAAAACCGCTCCACAGATGACACCTGGGAAGAGTCCAAATGGGAGGCACTTCAGGAGGTGCTCACGAACAAAAGGAACAGCCTCGAACCAGAGAGAGTGTGTGTACGTGCATATGCGTGTGTGTGTAGCAGAGGAGAGTTAAATAGCTTTGGACCTACAACTAGTCCGTGCATTTGGGAGTGGGTTCCTTGTTCCCAGTCGACCACTCACTGGATGGTCTGGAGGAAGTCCCTGCTCCTCCCCAGGTCTGTTTCCTCAACTGCAAATTTAGGGAACTAGCCTAGATGAGTGATTCTGGGGCTGTTTTTACCTGCTGATATCTTTCTTCAGAGGAAACTGCGTGCAGCAGCCCAATATAAAAAATAGTAAATCAGGCAGAAACGCCTAGTTGAGGTAGGGGTGGGAGCAAGGAACCTCTCAGGACTCAGCCGTGTCTGATGGAACAACCACTGTTTGAAAACAACCAGACGAGATGTTCCACATGGTTCCTGCCAGCTCTGACTCTTTAAGACTAACACCCACATATGAGCAGCAGTTCCTACAGCACCAGGCTCAGGTGACAAAAAACCCACTTGTTTATTGGGGAAGGGTGCAGGAACTCCGTGAACTTTGCTTCTGGGGCAGGAATTCTTTCCTGCAGCCAGCAACTACCAGGTATGAAAACCAGACAGACTAACAAACCAGCTGGTCAACTGTCTCTGGCCTGAAGGTAGGGGATGTATCCCCTTGGTTCCTTGACGTTCCTAAATCACTTCGCTCTATGTAATAAAAGGAGCACTTGAAAAGGAGTCCAAGACCAGAATGACAGGCCTGCCTCTAAGCTGCTGTGTAACCCTGGGCAAGTCACTGCCCCTCTCTGGGCCTTGACAGCCTCATTTCTAAAAGGGGGGTTGGACAAGATGATTTCTGTGGCTCCTTCTGATCCTAATATTCAAGGGTTCTACGCACTAAAAGTCACATTGCGCATCTGGCACGTGGGCACGCAAATGACTAGACTGAGACAAAAGGACTAAATAGTCTTTACAGCTTAGAAGTGCAACTGGCATTCAGAGAAGTGGGGGGGTGTGGGGACGGGGGTGTTGGGACCTCAGAAGAGGAAGCTGAGCTGGCCCCTGATGGCCAAGTGACATCTCAACCTCTGAGAGGAGAGACCAGGCTCTCCAACCCTCCTGGGGACCGCAGGGAGGCGTGCAGACACCCGGCCTTCTGTGGACACTGGAAGCAAAAACCCACGGAATTGCTAACAGCGCTGTGGTTCTTCCTCTACCTGGATCCTGGGGCAAGAAAACAGCATCTGAACAGCGACCGAAGGACACGTAGCTCTTGGCACCATCTATGAGTCCGTCATTGGAAGGGTTAAAGGTAATGTTGGTGAAGCCAGCCACACAAGCCCTGTGGGGTGTGACAAGAGGAAAAAGAGGTGGCTGAGACGTGTCCAATGCCCCAGGCACGTGAAGCTTTGCACACTGGAGGCTCAGCCCCTAAAGACAAAGACCCAGAAGACCTTACCGATAGGAGCCCAGGGGCTCCAGCTTGCCGTTATAGTAGCCGTGCGTGGTTGACTCATTCCCAACGTCAACTTCATATTTCAAGACTTCAGACAAGCCCTGAGAACGCGTCTTCTCTTCTGTTGTTATGAGGTATGTCACATAAGTGTCTGAGGCCCCCTTTTTGAATTCTTTATACGTATACCCCAAGACATCTGCAGACAGGTGGACAACTAAGAAAGGGACACAGGAGGAAAGTCATCAGAAAGTGATGGCAGAGATGTAAGTCTCCCATGCATTTAAACAATGACGTTGACATTGGGTGACGATGTAGGTACCACCTCTCAAGGATGCTCTCTATGCCAGGCTTTACTTGTAATAAATTCTAAGTGCTTTACTGACATTAACTCATGTAATCCCCACGATAATCTCATCACATAGGTTTACTAGCCCCACTTCACAGATGGGAAAATGAAGGCACAGAAAGCTAAAAGGACCCAAGGCCACACTGCCTACATGGTGGAGTTGTACTTCTAACCCAGAACACTGGACTGGGAGTGTGCAATCTCATCCATCACAGGCTGGTATGGGTCAGTCTGGTCACTCTGCAATAATGCCTCCCCCGTTCAGTAAAGGTCTGAGCTTGGGATTTGCTGAAAACCTTCAGAGCAAAATGATTAGGTGTTTGAAGCAGACCCAAAACAAAAAGACAGAAAGAGAGAAGAGATCTCAATATTGCTTTTTGAAATTTTGCCGCAGGTTTACGACACCAGCAAATTCCTTATCTTCCAGGATTCCCACACCCCTGACAGTGGGCTTGATCTCTGCTGTCCTCTAGGAGATGAGGACAGGAGATGAGGACAGTGTCACAGGCTGGGAGACTGGGCAGCGCTGCAATATTCACATTCAGTTTAAAGAATCACCAAAAATGACAAAATTTGGCACTTTAAACCCAGGCCTTGTGCAAAGCATCCACACAGCTAACAAAGACCCCCTGAGTCATCCCCTCCTTCCTCCCAAAGAGTGTGAGGGAGCCCTTTAAGGAAAGGCTGCTTTTCATCCAACTCCTCTCTCAGCTGTGAGGATGCTCTTTGCAAGTTCTCGCCACAAATGCAAATCGTTTCGTTTTCTTTCAAGAGAAAGTCACTCTTTGAGGTGGATGTGTGCATGTGCATGTGTGTGTGCGTGTGTGCATGTGTGTGTGTGACAAAGTTGGTTATGACTAATATCCTGCCACATAAAAGACTCTGTGTTGTAAAAGACATGAAAACCCTCGATCAGAGGTCAGTAAGTTAGGATCCACTGGCCAAATCCAGCCGCCCACTTATTTTGGTAAATAATATTTTATTGGAACAGCCACATTCTTTCTTCATGTATCTTCTATGACTATTCCACGCTCCAATGGCAGAGCTGAATAGCTGCGACAGAGACTGAAGGACTGGCAAAGCTAAAAATATTTGCTATCTGGCCCTTGACAGAAAGTTTGTCAACCTCTGACATAGATCATCAGGCAAATAGCTTACCCCCTCCCACCCCGTCTGAATGCCAAAGCATGGGCTACAGCGTAAAAACAGACACGTATTTGTATCACAAATGTGCCTCAGTGGGCATAGAAATGGCGCCGGGTCAGGGCGTCACTCACTGGCTGTTTAACCCATCATGACCCCTCCTTACCTTCCCCAGTGGTGAGAACCAGAGCGTAGGCTTTGATGGGTCCATGGCTGGCTTCAAACTCACTGAACTTGACTTTGACCGAATTGTGGCTGACAGATGTAATATTAGGAGATCCATCTGGAGCAGGTGGATCTGAAACAGAAGAAAACAAAACATGAGCACCCAACATTTAAAACCAAAGCAGGAACAAAATTATTAGGGAGAGAATTTGCTGCAGTGCCCCCCTCAAGATCTGCCCTTGATCAGGAAGCTGTGTGCCGGGCTCATGCAAAGCACATTGAGAAGCAAGGGGCAGGGCAGGGAACTGGTGGGGAGCAGAGAGGGTAGATCCCTGGGGGAGCCTGCCTCGCTCACAAGGGCCCCTTCAGTGTGCCAGCTGTATCCCCGGGGACAGGCTCCCGGCAGCCTTGTTGGTTGAAGTCAACCTGCCTTTCCTATCTTCCCCGGGCCCCTCTGAACCCAGGTGAGACCCAGAGGGCCAGGTTCCTTATCCTGAGAACTGGAGAAGAAGAAGGAGAGGGAGAGAGAGACTGTGTGGGAGGAACTCTAAGGTGGGGACTTGGGAGCTGTACACAGACATCCATCCATCACCCGGACTCGGCACCAGATTGGTCAGTCCACTGAGAACAATGACGCAGCAAAGAGGACAGACAGAACACACTTCCTCCTGAGACCTGACTGCATTCCTTCTCCATGTCCTTCACACTCAAGTCCTCATTTTTGCTGGAGTTGGTTTAAAACACCACCTGGAGAAACTCAACAGACCCGCTTGCCAGAAACCAGAAAAGCCCACCCAGGAACGTTCCATGGGTGACCTTCATGATGATGTACCTTGCCTTTCCAAGCTAGGCTCATTAAGCCACTCTCTGAATTAACACAAAAGGAAGAAAACGCTGAATTAAAGATTCCATACACTCTCTGTCTACCTAAATTTGTCTCCCACATACAGTTTGAGTGCTTTCTTATTATACTCAAGATTCAGAGAGGCCGAGAAAACCGAACTGCACAGTGCAATTCTCCAAACTTGCACTGTCCAATATGGCAGCCACTAACCACAGGTAGCACTCAAGCACTTGAAATGTGACTAGTCCAAATTCATAGGTGCTATATGGGTGAAATATAGACTGGATGGCAAAGACTTAGTACGAATAAAGAATGCAAAATATCTCATTAATAACTTCCTTTATACAGATTACACGTTGAAATAACATTTTTAATATATTGAGTTAAATAAAATGATTAAAACTAATTTTAGCTATTCCTTTTTATGTTTTCTTATTGTGGTTCCTAGAAAATTTTAAATTACACATGAGGCTCACATGATTTTCTATCGGACAGCACAGCTCTGAACCTACTCGAGCAACCTCTCTAAGTTGCAGTGGCCACTTGGGGGCGCTGTCCCCATGTCTAATTATCAACTGCCTCAGCAGAGACTTCCTAACACATTTCCCAGCAACCCCTGCGCTCCAGGGGTCCTGTCTGCCTTATTTGCCATAGTGTTCCTTACCACCATCGCCCACCCCCAGCACTAAGCAGCAAGAAACATTGGCTAAAAGACCATCACTCCAACTCTCCCAGAGTTACCCACCCGCCAACGCTCTCTACCTGTCTCAGAGAAAATGCAGCTCCACATTTTTGTTAAATCAAAAACATGTTAAATTTGTACATTAAAAAAACATGTGAAATTTGTACATAAAAATTCCCCTGAGGAAAGGCAGCTACAGACTAAAGAGTGAGAGAATCACCGGACTAAATGATAAGTGGTCATTATCCAACCCTTCCACACATCGTTCAGCTTCAGAAACAACTAATTCTGAGGAGCTCCTTCTCCTCACCAGGCACTGTGCTCAGCCCTGCAGAGACCAAATCAGACATGGTTTCTGTTCCTCAGTAGCTTAGACCCACTGAGGAGATGACAGCATAAAACAGAGGACTACAAAAAAGTACCCACAAGGGTCACTGTTTCTATGACGTTCTAGAGTGCTGCAGAAACCAAAGGAGTATGACCCAGGCCATCCTGTATAGCTGTGTACTACACAACTCTAAGGAGCCTCATGCACATCGCAGTCCATAGGAATGGTGTCCCCTGGAACTGTGCAGTGCATAACCTGAGCGGGCATACATAGCAGCTCTGAAGTGGCCTTCCACACACATTACCTCATCTAAATCGTACAACAGTCCTAGAAGGTAGGTATTATTTCCTCTTTTTACAACTAAGGAAAACAAGGCCCAGAGAGGTTAAGTAACTTTTCTGAGATCACACAGATGGTAAAAGGCAGAACTTAGAATCAAACTCAAGTCTGCCTAAGTCTGAGGCTCTGTCCACAGAACCCCTGGACCACTTTCCATGTCCGAATCTCTGAAGTAAGAGGCCTTTTTTTCTTACTATTACAACCACTAATTCTTTAGAAATTATCTGGAAACATTCTGGTACCCTAAAGGAAACATACCTAGGAGTCAAAAAGCACAAAGCAGGCCAGCCCCGTGGCTTAGCGGTTAAGTGCGTGCACTCCGCTACTGGCGGCCCGGGTTCAGATCCCAGGCGCGCACCAACGCACCGCTTCTCTGGCCATGCTGAGGCCGCGTCCCACATACAGCAACTAGAAGGATGTGCAACTATGATGTACAACTATCTACTGGGGCTTTGGGGGAAATAAAAGGAGGAGGATTGGCAATAGATGTTAGCTCAGAGCCGGTCTTCCTCAGCAAAAAGAGGAGGATTAGCATGGATGTTAGCTCAGGGCTGATCTTCCTCACACACACACAAAAAAAAAGCACAAAGCAAAACCAACTCAACTAGGCTGATCTAAGACATAACTCTGGCAAAGACATGGGAGCAAAAGACAGATAAAAATGAAGCAAAGCTATCAGAAGCAATTTTTTCCAAGTACCAAAAACAAACAAACAAAAAAAGATGGGTATGAAAAGATTAACTAGGGGGATCCCCTGTCCAGTGAGTGACACCCTGTTTCCCAAAACCACTGGGGAGCTTGTAAACACGGCTCTAGGGAAACAGGAGTCTTGACTGAATATTTGATAACAGTAAACAAAAGTACTGTTAAGTTTTTAAGTGTGATGCTAATAGCAATGTGGTCATGTCTGAAAGAAAGGGAAAAAGAGTCCCTATCTTGCAGCAATACACAATGAAATATTTATAGATAAAATTACAAAATGACTAGGACTGGTCTCAAAGTAATCCAGAGAGGGAGAATGGATATAAATGAAATAAGATTGGGCAAGCGTTGACAAACGTTCAACTGGGTGATGATGGGAATGTGGGTTTCCTTACACTGTCCTCTACTTTTGTGTATATTTGAATATTTCTATAAAAATGCTTTTTTTAATGCAGTAAGGGAACTCATTACTTAAAAGAAAATGTGGCAATGATTTATTCTGTAAAGCAAAGGAAACTTTTTTGGAATATAAAAAATGATTCCCTCTTACTCTGCTTTTTTTAGACTAGATTTCTATAGAATTAGGTTAACAGTCCACGTCAACAAAAACAAATATTTTGGCATAAATCTAAAACAAAAACAAAACAGGGACCGGCCCGGTGGCATAGTGGTTAAGTTCACGTGCTCCGCTTTGGCGGCCCGGGGTTCGCAGGCTGGGATCCCAGGCACAGACCTACACACCGCTTATCAAGCCATGCTGTGGCAGCGTCCACATATAAAGTAGAGGAAGACTGGCACAGATGTTAGCCTAGGGATAATCTTCCCGAGCAAAAAAAGAAGAGAATTGACAACAGATGTTGGCTCAGGGCTAATCTTCCTCAAAAATATATATATATTTAAAAAAAAAAAATAGATTTCTATGCCACACTTGCAGAGCCACTGGGTCAGCCTCGCCAGGGGAGACCAGAATGCCACCTGCTGCCACGAAACCCACCTGTGATGCCAGTGAGACAGGTGATTTGGGTGGGGGGTGCCATCTTGTTACAGGAAAAGGTAGCGATGCTGATGTTGTACGAGGTAGAAAAATTCAAATATGTGACTTCTGTCCTGTACTCGGTGCTGTTCTCCGAGGAGCAGCTCTCCAGGTGTGTCATATTTTTCCAGGCTCCACGGCTGATCTCCAGCCCAAAGCCTGTGTTGGTGCCGGCAGGGCAGGCCCACTTGAGAACCAAGGTCGGCTCTTTGGGGACCACCTCACAGTGGAAGGAGGCTACTGGTGCAGGATCTGCAAAGCAAGCATAGCACAGCATGAGATTCTGCGACTTCCGCCTTTGCAAACACCGAACCTTGGGGAGCAGTAGAATTCTGGCCCATTTGTGATGGGGAGTCTTGCGGTATGGTAGAAGAGGCAGAGGCTGACCTAGAATTGGGCATTACTGAACTGCGTGACCTTGGGTCAGTCACCCAACTGCTCTGAGCCTCGGCTGCAGGACTGTTTGAGGATTAAACGGAACAGTGGGTGTTAGTCACTGAGCTGGAAGAGAACAGGGCTCCGGGAGAGGGAGCTTTATCATATCGTGGGTGGTAGCAACTTCTTCACCTGTGTCATCTCATTTGGGGGCCCTCTTGACAATCCTTCTGGAATAGAAGGGTTAATACTGTCCCATTTTGCAGACGAATCAACTGAGGCTTGGAGAGCTTAAGTAACTTGCTAAAGATGTGACATGGCTGGTAAGTGGGAAAGCCAAAACTGGATCCCAGGTTTTCTGAATCCCAGTCCAGGGCATTTTCTACCCACACAACACGCTGAATATTCAGTGGTAAATGGTATCAGTTTCTTCACCTTTAAAATGGGGTGTTATTTGTCTCTACCTATCTGAGGCCCAAGAGAGTTTTACTGAGGGCCAACATCAAACTGATATAAATGGACAACTCTGTATTAATATGCTGGGGAAGTGGGGCCAGCCTGGTGGCGCAGCAGTGAAGTGCACGCGCTCCGCTTCAGCGGCCCGGGGTTCGCAGGTTCGGATCCCGGGCGCACACTGATGCACCGCTTCTCAAGCCATGCCGTGGCAGCGTCCCATATAAACTAGAGGAAGATGGGCACGGATGTTAGCCCAGGGCCAATCTTCCTTAGCTAAAAAGAGGAGAATTGGCATCGGATGTTAGCTCAGGCCTGATCTTCCTCACCAAAAAATAAATAAATATGCTGGGGAAGAATATCGTCATTACTTTAATGTCGCAGAATTTTAGAGCAGGAGAAGCTAACAATCACCTAGTACAAGTCCACACTCTCTACCTGAGGTCTGGAAAGGTAGCCCGCCCGGTGCATACCTTCTCCCACCACTCACCTTCCATCCACCCCAGTCATAAATGCTCATCTACGTTTTTCTCTTGCCGTAGGATGCAATAATTACAGGTAAGGTAAGTATCAGCAATGGAAGCCACGCAAACATCAAAGATCAGAGTCTAGACCAGGTGGGTGGAGCCTGAGGTAGCAAGTGACTCAAAGCTGCAGGGATTTCTTTAGCCACTCCAAGTGAAAGGTCAGAGGTCATCGAGGTTCCCACATGACCAAAGAGGCTGATCCAATGAGACCGATCCCCTCTCCAAATCAGCCTGAACACACTTGAATAGCTTAGTCTAAAGAAGGGAAGACGTAGGTGCAAAGAGGGTGGAAGATAAGATGGTACATGGATGCCACGGTGACAAAGGCACCACAATCAGAATTGTGAGCTGAAGTGCTCATAACTGTGTGCTAACATTCCCTGGGGTCCTCTCTGCAAGTCCTCAGTTAAACACAGGCTCTTCTCTTTATCACGCTTTTTGCCTTGAGAGATAAGGATCAAGAAAGGTGAAAAAGCTGAGCATCCATCTTAACAATATCCTTTCCACCTTCTGCAGTGTAAAAGCCAAACTATGAACTACAAGCCTGGACATCATCCATGCCCCGGCCCGTTACCTCTCCGGCCTCACCTCCCACCCCTCAGCCTCTTGCTCCCATGGATCCACTCCTGCCACCTGGCCTCCTGCTCTTCCTTCAACACAGCAGGCACACTCCAGCCTCAGGGCCTTTGCACTGGCTGCTCCTCTGTCTGTAATGCTCTAGGCCCTAATATCCACACGGCCGGCTTTTTACCTCCTTCAAGTCTTTGCTCAAAAGTCACCTTTTCATTGAGGGCTTCCCTGGGCACCCTAGATAAACAGCTCATTCCCCTTCCTTGCTTTATTCCCTCTCACTAGCAGGAATAATCCTCTAATAACTTATTTATCTTGTTTATTATGTCTTCCCCACCAGAAAAAAGTTCCAGGAAGGAAGGGACTTGTCTGTGTCATTTAACAGTGGCTGGCATACAGTAAGTGCTCAATAAACATTTGTTGAATGAATAAATGATGAGGGCAACAAGACAGCACTAATAAGCTAACAGGGTGTCTCAGAGAGCTCAGTGTCCATTATTGCACACCACACGAAACCTGATAAACTAAAGCCTGTGGCGGACCGACCTGCCAGGGCAGCACCACACAGGAAGGAGCCCAACAGGCACCTGGGGCTACTCACCTGTACAGAATGACTGCCAGCTAGGTGTCAGTGAGTCGCTGACATTCCCCACTTGTGTGACGATCGCCACTGTGTACCACAAGCCAGGTATTAATCCGGTGACTGTAGCAGAAGTGATGCCAGTGACTGTGACTGTTATTTGGCTAGAATTTCCATCCTTCCCAATAAGAAGGCGGTAGGTGTACCCAGAAGAGGCTTTATCCAAGTTCTGCCAACTTAAGGTTGCTGCTGTGGTCTTGGTACTTATTTCAATGTCAGATACACTGTTGGGCCCTTGATTTAAAAAAAAAAAAAAAAAAGTATGGATTAGCTTGAATTCCAGGACTATTTTATTTATTGCACCTAAAAAGAGCCTGAGTCTTTTGGGGAAAGAATGAATAAAGCTACTATTTGCTGGCTCAGAAGATGGAAGGCTTCCCAAGAAGACATTCAGAAAATAATTATACAGGTTAAATCTCAAAAGAATTAGTTTTTCCGGCTTCTCTTCATACTTCAAATTTATGTGAAATATATTTTCAAGATATAATTTCCTATCTGTTTTTGAAAGCCAATTAACGCAAGGGAAAATATATACTAAAAAGATATTATAAACTACCATCTCTATCATATATTTAGGTCACATATTAGCAAAACAGCTCCCTCCCTGTTGCACACAGGGCTCCGCATTTGAGCAGTATCTTCCAATGCCCACATGACAAGGGGACCTCCTCTTGTCTGTATATCCAAGGGAAGGATGGAACACTTATGTTTCTGTGCTTATGGGATCACTTTCTGCTTCTAAAGATAATTCCAAGTTCACATGGCTCAGCACCAGCACCCCATGAGAACAGCAGGACCTTTGCTGAGGCCAATGTTTTCAGCTTAAGTAGTTGCATATTCTACCTGGAGCCCAGAAACACCAGGGCCCCTGACCCTATCATTTAACCAATGCTTACTTCCCACCCTCCAAGTGAAAGTCAGGAAGAATACTCCCTTAGGAGGGCATCCTAAGACACTCACGTGTGTACTGTGCCGTGAAGTTGGAGATCCCACGGACGTGGTTCACTTCTGGAGAGACTGTGATGTTATATAAGGTGCCTGGGATCAGGTCCGTGAGTGTGGCTGCCCTGTCAGAACTGTTCATCTCACGAGTGCCATGCTCAGACTGTATGTCTAGATGGTAGATGTACTCAGAAGCATTGTCTCTGTTCTGCCACTCCAGCTGCATTTCAGTCGTGTTGACATGGACCACACGGATGTCAAACACCGCACCGGCATCTGGTTGGAGGAAAGGAGGAAAAAAGGAAGTCTGTTCATGACCATCATAACATCCAGCTTTATTTCAATGTGTCTCTCAAAAGAACTTGCTCTTTTACCATCAAACTCTCAAATGAGTTCACAAAGGGCAAACCCCAAAACTTAGGCGAGAAACACACACGCTCTGTTCTTTCAAGAATTTTGGTTCTTCCATAACACAGACATACTTACCAGTTCATCATGCCAGTTCTCTGGTTTTTTGCTTTTGTCATGAAAATGCCCCCTGTGAGGGTTTTCTGGAGTGGAAATCATGTTCAGTTTCTTGATCTCAGATCAACACTCATGTTGGTGACTGGATGGGTTCAGTTCGTGAAAATTAACCAACTATGCACTTAGGATGCGTGTGTTTTTCAGTATGTACATTATATCTCAGTAAGTTGTTTGCTTGCTTTTAATCAACGTTTCCTCAAAAGAAAACATCTTCCTGTAACATAATCAGGCATACTGAAGAGAAAAACTGAAATGGGGAGTTGACATTTACTAAGTGGGAGCATTTGAGGCTGGGGGGTGGGTGAGGAGGGAAAAAAGACACATGCCCTCCACCCCCAGAGCCGGGAGTCAGGAGAGAAGTCACCCCTGAGTGCTCTGGGGTCTGTCCTCGGATCATCTCTCCTCTAAACATCGAGCCAGTTGCAATATAAATGCATGATCAAGGCCCAGAAATAACTACATAAGCAGGGTCTCTCTTCTGCCCTTGCTTTCCAAACTTTTCTCTCTTGACCCAGTAACCAAGGTCACCTCCAGTGAGAGGAACTGGGTGACCGGGGGATAAAAGAGGGAAACATTTTCACTGTAAAATCTTTCATATTTGTTTTTAATTTTGTTCCACATGCATGTACTTTCTACTCCAAAATTAACTTTTTTTAAAGGGAGTTCTCCTTAAAGGGAGGTAGCTTTGAGAGTCTTCTTTCCCTACCACCAGATTGCTGATGTCAAAGGGATTCCATAGACAAAAGACTGTGAAAGGCAGTCATTTTTCTATAAACACACAAAAAACTAGAAATAACCCAAATATTCCATAAAAAAAGAAGGGCTGTGTAAACCGTGATCTGGCTCCATGATGAAATATTCTGCAGCCACTAAAAACAGGAAGACCATACTAACTAGGGGAGGGAAGATATAGTATACACTAAGTAAAAAAAGTTCAAATGCAAAATACAATTATTTGTATAATGATTACAATGATGTAAACAAAACGTATGACTGTAGGGGCCAGTGAGGTGGCATAGCAGTTAAGTTCGCGCGCTCTGCTTCAGCAGCCCAGGGTTTGCAAGTTCGGATCCCGGGCACAGACAGACACACCGCTTGTCGAGCCGTGCTGTGGTGGCATCCCACATAAAGTAGAGGAAGGTGGGCACAGATGTTAGCCCAGGGCCAGTCTTCCTCACAAAATAAATAAATAAATAAATAAAATAAAACATATGACTGTGGACACAGAAAAGGAAGTCATTTGGGTTGAAAGAGTGAAGTTATTTTGGTTTCCCTTCCCTTTTACGGTGGTAAAATATATACAATATTTATCATTTTAACCATTTGTAAGTGTAAAATTCAGTGGCGTTAAGTACACTCACAATGTTGTGTTACCATCACCATTATCTATACCCAAAACATTTCATCATCTCCAACATAAATTTTGTTCCCATTAAACAACTCCCTATTCTCCCTCCCCCAGCCCCTGGTAATCTCTATTCTACCTTCTGACTCTATGAATTTGCCTATTCTAGGTACCTCGCATAAGTGGAGTCATACGATATTTGTCTTTCTGTGTCTGGCTTATTTCACTCAGCATAATGTTTTCAAGGCCCATCATATTGTAGCACGTTATCAGAATTCCATTCCTTTTTATGGCTGCATAATATTCCATTGTATTGATATACCACATTTGTCTCTCCATCCATCTATTGATGGACATTCGGTTGCTTCCACCTTTTAGCTATTGTGAATAATGCTACTATGAACACTGATGTACAGATACCTGTTCGAGTCCTGGTTTTCAATTCTTTTGGAAATATACATATGTAGGAGTGGAATTTCTCGGTCATACGGTATCTGTCTCCCTTTTTCAAACTTGCCTTTAATGCTATTACACTGATTTCCCTAATAATAATGAACTTTCTTCAGTAATTGAATGCTATTCCCTAAGAGGCTGGTGGCTTATTACAACTCTTCTTGACTTCCATTCAATGGGACCCAATTACAGGCTATAGAACAAGAGACGCCTTCTCCTCATGAATGGTCTTCAATTACTTTGCAGCTGCACCATATCAAAGTATCAGCCCACCCTGTGGTTAAGACCTCAGTCTTCAAAGTCAGACAGAGGCCCGTTCACCACCTGGGCCGGTTACTTAACCTCAAAAAACTCCCAAAATACTCTGCAAAATAGAGATGAGAAGAGTACCTAGCTCATGAAGTTGTGTTAAAAATTTTAAAATACAGGATGAGAGCCCAGCACTTTATAGATCCCCAATATATTATATCATTACTACATTAAGTTCTGGGCATTAGCAAGTCACACACCATCAAGAGTCCCCCACAGTGAGGATCCTCTTACCATTATCAACATTCTCAAAAAGAAAGAAGAAATATATGTTGCTATTAAGACCCTGTCTTAACAGTCTAATCTAAAATTCAGACTTGAAAAGGAATTACTGCATTTCATCTGAGGGATGCATTTTAGCAATTCCCTTTTTCTGGAAGCAGATCTTTCAAGTGACTATCAATGCTTAACCCAACCAACAGAGTTGAAGAAACCTACACAAGGAGAATCTCAAAAGCCCAACTGATTTCATGTGCAGCTCAAGGAATCATCTCACTTCTTTATTCTTCCTCTCTGTATAAAGGATTTCAATTCTCTTGCAATCAAAGATCAAGGAATATTGTATGTTTTCCAAGTTTTCAAAAACATTGTATTTCAAATTTTGAAAACAATAAGGAACATTAAATTGTTTTCGCTAAATACTTTTGTCAATATCAATTGGCCTTACAGAACTAAGAAAACTATTGCATCACAATATTGTTTTTGAAAGATTATAAATAATCTACCTGTCCAACAACAGGGGAATAGTTAAATAATTTACATACATCTAGACCAACAGTTCTTAAACTTTTGGGTCTCAGGACCCCTTTACCCTCTTAAAAATTATTAAGGATCTCATAGAATTTTTGCTTATGTAGGTTATATTTACTGTATTAGAAATGAAAAATGAGGAAATTTTTAAAACATAAGAATACACAAGCATATATTTCATTAGCCGTCAGAGTGGTGGTGTCACCCCACGTGCTATAGCATCTGGAAAACTCCACTGTACACCCATCAGGAGAGAATGAGAGTGAAAAAGCCAATAATAGTTTAGTATTATTATGACAATAATACCTCGCAGACCCCTTGAAAGAATCTAGGGGACTCCCAGAGATCCCTGGATCACACTTTGAAACCACTGATCTAGCCCAGGGGTCAGCAATCTTTTTCTATAGGGCCACAGAATGAATATTTTAGGCTTTGTAGGCCATATTTCTCTGTTGCAACTACTCATTTCTAGCACAAAAGAAGCCATAGACAGCATATGAACAAGTAAACATGGTCGTGTTCCAATAAAACATTATTTACAAAAACAGGCAGTGGGTGCTGGTGGGAATGCAAACTGGTACAGCCAGTATGGAAAACAGTATGGAAATTTCTCAAAAAATTAAAAATAGAAATACTATACAATCCAGCTACCCCACTACTGGGTATTTATCCAAAGAACTTGAAATCAACAATTCAAAGAGATTTAAGCACCCCTATGTTCATCGCAGCATTAGTCACAATAGCCAAGACATGGAAGCAACCCAAGTACCCATCAACTGAAGAATGGATAAAGAAGATGTGGTGTATGTATATATACATACACACACACACACACACACACACACACACACACAGTGGAATACTACTCAGCCATAACAAAGACAAAATTGTCCCATGTGCAACAACATGGATAGACCTTGAGGGTATGAAGTTAAGTGAAATAAGCCAGACAGAGAAAGACAAACACCACATGATTTCACTCATATGTGGAAGATAAACAAACACATGGATAAAGAGAACAGATTAGCAGTTACCAGAGGGGAAGGGAGTTGGATAAAAGGGGTAAAGGGGCACATATGTATGGTGACAGATAAAAATTATACTATTGGTGGTGAGCATGACGCAGTCTATACAGAAACTGATAAACAATAATGTACACCTGAAATTACACAATGTTATAAACCATTATGACCTCAATAAAACAATTAAAAAAAAAACAGGCAGTGGGTCAGACTTGGCCCATGAGCCATTATTATCTGTTGACCCCTGATTTAGACAATCAAATGGCAGGCAGGTATTAAAATTATCCTGTAGACAGACTTATATTGACAGGGAAGAATATTCATAATAAATTGGTAAGTGGAAAAAAGCAGATTATAAAACCACATGTATAGGATGAATTCAACGTTTGTAAATAAAATAAAATAAAATATATATATATCTGTATATATCTTAAAATTGTAAAACATCAGACACCATAAGTTATCAGTCATTATCTCTGGTTGATGGTTTACATGTGATTTTTTTTTCTTTTTGCTTGTCTTATTTTATATAATAAATATACATTACTGTCATAACTTCTTTTAAAGATTTTTCTTAGATAATTATTTTAAAAAAGCAATATTTGGAAAACCTGACATTTATAAATTATACTGATTTCCTTTAAGAAACATCCTATCTGCTTACCCTATTTGCTTACCAGTTCTACTGTAAACTCTCTGGGAATCCCCTTCAGTCCCATTTGGTCCTTGTGGAACTATTTCAAAGCTGTAGTTGGTTCCAGGGTATAAACCACGAATGATGATACTTTGCTCAGTTGTTGTTTGCACCTGAGGTGTTCCAGCTCCATCCCATGTGGTAAGTATCTTAAAGGAATCTGAGTCATTGCTGCTCCAAGCTAAGCCAATTTCCCTGGAGCTGACATTCATCACTCGAAAGTCGGAAACTGGACCAGGGGCTGAGGGAAGAAAGTAAACAATCAGATTAAGAATCTCTTTCTCCAACAGGAAACCTCATACACAGCTGGTGGGAATGCAAACTGGTCCAGCCTCTATGGAAAACGGTACGGAGATTCCTCAAAGAATTAAAAATAGAGATGCCCTATGATCCAGCCATCCCACTACTGGGAATCTATCCAACGAACCTGAATCAACAATCCAAAGAGGCTTATGCACCCCTGTTCATTGCAGCATTATTCACTATAGCCAAGAAGTGGAAGCAACCTAAGTGTCCCTCAACTGATGATTGGATTAAGAAAATGTGGTATATATACACAAGGGAATACTACTCAGCCATAAAAAAAGACAAAATCGTCCCATTTGCAAAAACATGGATGGGGCTGGAGGGTATTATGTTAAGTGAAATAAGCCAGAAAGAGAAAGACAAACACTGTATGATCTCACTCATATGTGGAATATAAACCAACACGTGGACAGAGAAAACTGTATTGTGGTTACCAGGGGCAATGGGGGTAGGGGGTGGGCACAAGGTGTGAAGGGAGACATATATATGGTGATGGACAAACAAAAACATACAACCCAAAATTTCACAATGTTAAAAACCATTAAAACATCAATAAAAAAAAAATCGGAAAAAAAAAAAAGAATCTCTTTCTCCAGAAAACAAAGGTGACTGAATCTCACAAAATATTTACACTGAGATTAAATGCACACTTGGGTCACCTGATCTCTCTTTCTGTCTTCTTTGTGTTATAACCTACAACATGAGACCCTCAGAAACTGGTATTTCTGGCCATTGAGAGGACATTTGGCCACAAGAGTGCAGAAACTGCGCGCTTAGGTTGTACAGAATCATTCACAGAAACGAGAGGAGGTGGGAACCCCATGGGCAAGGGCTCAGACCCTGGAGTAGGACTGGCTGCTGCTGGCTGCTTTATCTTAAATATATTACTACATTTCCCAGAGCCTCCTTTTAGGGAGGAGTAGCAGAGGCTGCTGTTGACCCCCAAAATCCATTCCCTCCCTCTTTTTCTTTAGTCATACACCCCCAGATTTTTAGCTGTGTACAAGGCTGTTGGGAATAAAGACTACATTTCCCAGCATCTCTTGCAGCTAGATTAGCCATGTGACTAAGTTCTAGCCAATGGCATGTGAGCAGAGGTAGTGTATGACTTCTAGGAAGTATCCTTAAAGCATGGAGCACTACCTTCTGCCCTTCCTCCTTCTTGTAGCTGGAATGTGGATACAATGACTGGAACTCAGGCTGCCTAGCTCTAGAACCAAGATTGCGCCTGTGATGGTAGCTGCAGCTTGCTGATCCCAGGACTGCAGCTCAGAACACAGATTCCTGGAGCCAGCACCCACAGCCAGGGCTGCTGACTGTGACAAAGCTGGTGACTCCCCAGATGGGGGATTCTGTACCCTTAGTTTGGGAGTCATTTCTGGGTCCCAGCCTAAAGCCTGCTCTCCAGTTGTTATGAGTTGAATTGTGTCCCCTCAAAATTCATATTTTGAGGTACCTAACCCCAGTACCTCAGAATTTGACTGTATTTGAGGATAGGGTCTTTAAAGAGGTAATTAAGGTAAAATGAGGTCATCAAGGTGGGCCCTAATCCAATCTGACTGGTGTCCTTATAAGAAGAAGAGATTAGGACACAGACATTCACAGACCAAAGGACAACCACGTGAAGACACAGGGAGAAACAGCGATCCACAAGCCGAGGAGAGAGGCCTCAGAAGAAACCAACCCTGCGTCACCTTGATCTCAGACGTCTCACCTCCAGAACTGTGAGAGAATAAACTGCTATTGTTTAAGCCCCCAGTCTGTGGTACTTGTTATGGCAGCCCTGGCAAACTAATACACAGCCCTTCCAATGATTCTCTAAACCCTCAATTCCCAGACTAAATCCCTCTCAGCTTAAAACAGCTCTCGGTTTCTGTTTCCTGCAACTGAGCCCTGACAGTCTACTATCCCATCCTGCCTAGCAGAGGGCTTCTTTTACCATTAGAGAGAATTAAACTTCTGTCTTATTTAAGCCAATACTTGGTGAGTTTTTTGTTACTCACAGCCAAAACTAATCCTAACTAATAGAGAGATTAAACAGTAAAAAAAGTAAAAAGTGAAGAAGTGAAAACAGATTCCATTTACCCCAAAGAGCCAGTTCAGAAGACTTTTGTAAGAATGCCTAAGGTGCGCTTCCTGGGAAGCAACAGACACTCGAGTAAAGCATTCTCGTGGGACGAGCCCTGGGTCCAGAGACAGGCATCCCTGGGTTCAAGTCCCTGTTCCGCCACTTGCTAGGCTCTGTGGTCTTGGACAAATTATTCAGCTGTACTGGGCTGTAGTTTTCTCATCTGTAAAACAGTGGATCCTAACGCCTACCACGAAGACCACTGCAATCCACGTAAAGCTCCTGGCACAGTGTGATACCAATACTGTTATACGTTATACTAGTAATACACCATTATTGTTTTATTTGAAATTATTGGACCTTCTTTGGAATAAAAAGCCTTTCATTTGCTGCCTATCATCGTATCTTTAAGGGACAGTTAAGCAGAGAAAGGATGAGACATTATAATGTCAGCATCCCAAGGACAAAGGGACGTGAGTATCCAGGTCCTTTTTGTCTCCATGTATCAATTTGCTCTAGGTCTCTACCACACTAGAATGGTTGCTACAAGCACAGGCTGGAGTCAAGACAGTGCAGCTGTCTAATCCCACCTCTGTCACTTACCAGGTGTGACACCAGCCTACAGCACCTCTCTCAGCCCTGGCTTCCTCATCCATGAAATAAGGCTAATGGCAACCATGTCACAGATTTGTGAACATTAAATGAGATGCCGAAAGGAGAGTAAGTCACATGATGCTCAGCACGTAGGTAGGGTCAACTGATGATCATGTTATTACATCGCACATCCCGAAGGAGGTAAGAGTCCCTGTGGGCCCACACACTGAGCTGTGCTTCCCTTGAGGGCAGGAACAGAGCTTTTATTGTATCTGGGCCTGGCGCATGGCAGGCGGGGAAGAAAGGTTGGCAAAGCAAAGAGTGAACTCACGGGTGTACACTTGGAGAAAGCCCGGCATGCCTTTGGAACCGTTGTCAAGGAAAGGACGCACCGTGATGTTGTATAAGGTACGCGAGCTGAGTGGAGCGATGAGGGCACGAGTCTCATTGACGGTGAGATTGAGGGAACTGGTCTCTGTAGCAACTTCTATCTCGTAGGTATAGACAGAGGATGACTTATTATCATTGATTTTCCAGGTCAAGGTCATGCTTGTGGCACTGATGTTCACAACTTTGATGTCAAAAACCTGACTGGAGTCTGTGAACACACAAGAGGAGTTAACAAACACCTGAATGGCCAAGCCAGAGAGGGAGAGAGAGACAAGCTGTCACCAGGACATGTCATCAAATCTAAGAAACACTCTTGGCGATCGTTCCCTTCTATTCTGCTCCGTTTAACCACAACCACAACATACGCAAATGTATGGGGGGTCCCAGCAAAAGTCAGGCAGGCATCATCTTAGGTGAAGAAACAACCTAGCCAATTGCAACCACAGAGTTACTCTTTGTTCATCTTGTGAGTTGACTTTTAGAGAGATGATGGACTCCTCAAAGAACAACTCCGACTCTTCACATGCCATGCCTTGTGGTCAAAGATCACAGACTTTAGCATGAGGCAGGTCTGGGTTCCAAGGTTAGCTCTGCTCTAATAGCCAGGTGGATCTTAAGAAAATCACTTGAGCTCAGTTTCCTCATCTCTAAAATCAGGATAACAATCCTAACCTCAAGTAAAGATAACACAAGAGTGCTAGTTCTTCACCACTTGCCCACCCCACACTCTCACAATCCGTCCTCTGTCCTTCTCCTGCCTGCTCTGTGCCCCCAGAGGCTGACCCCTGCACACTGCATCATGGGGCAAGGGAGGACCCCGCCAGATGGCCTGGGATCAGGTTCTGCCAATAGGCAATGTGGGCAGGCTGCTGGGGGCTGAAGGAAACAGCAGTGGAGTCTTTCTCCCACTGCCTCCTCTCTGGGCTGCCTGTTCTGGCACGGATGCATCCTCCACTGCCCCAGCCCTCACTGGGCTCCAGAAACACCAGCACCTCCCCCTTGCTCTTCAACCTTAGAGGTGGTTTTCTACCATGACTAGTCTCAGGCGTCTCAACGTCCCCAGATGGTTTCCTTAACCCCATCCCACCTAACTAGTCACTCAAAAAATTCCTAATATGATACACGCATGTATATGTATGTGTGTGTGAATACATGTGCACTATGTGTGCATGTATATGTATAAACACCCACATACACATACACACACACACACACACCATATAGAAAAGGTTAAGACTACTATAATTATTATCAAGCACTAAGACAGTTTAACACAAACCAGGCTGTGTGTCTATGCATAGGACCAAGAGCCTAAGATGCAATGACTATTACTTCAGTTTTGCTTAAGTTGCTTTAAAAAGCAGGGAACCCAAGGCCCATACTAATCCACAGGACCCATTTTAGCAAATCAGGCAAAGGGCCCCTCCTCTGGAAGGACCCAGCCCTGGGGTGCATGGCCTGGTGAGGGGCCCACAGGCTAGATTTCAGCCCCATTCACCCTCCTGCACAAGCATCTGTGTAGGACAGCCCCCCACTATGGCAGGCCTGAAGGAGCCCCTTCCTCCTCCTCTGCCTCCTCCTCCTCCTTGAAACTTACCCACTCTCTAGACACCAAGCCCTCTTCACCCACGGGCCTCCCACTTGCCTACCTGCTGGGTCACTGAGGGCTCCAAGAGGCCAAGAGGCCTTTCCTACAGCTGTATCCTCCCCTCCCCCATGCACACACTAGCATCACCAGTGGAAGAGGAAAGAAGGAAGGAGGACACAAGTGGACCCTCCTCCAACGTGGATACCAGCAAAAGCAACAATTCCTTTCAGACATGACTTGTGACAGGTTTCTTGCCCAAATTTTCTAGCCCTGTGCAAGTAATACAGCCTGGGGGGTTATTGCCTCCAAGTAGTCTACAGCATGCCCCCTACTCTCCAAAAGAGAGAGAGATTATGCTCTAAACACACATACAATCTCTCCCTAGGAATTAATCAACCTCTCTGGAATTATCAGGGTCCTTGAGACATCACCGAATCCCAATGCGTCTCTACCTTCATACATCGGTGTCCGTCATCTACACATTCACTCATGTTTCCTCAACTGACGTGTCCTCCTCCTCCTCTCCATTTATCCAGATCCTACCCTCCCTTCAAAGCAAGTTCAAATCCTGCCTGTAGAAGAGGCCTTCCCTGGGGATTTGATGTGAAGATCCTGCTCTCACCCTCCAATGCCCACAGCACTTAGTGAGCAGCTGCAGGGGGCAGTGGCCATGTATGACCTGTGCAGCTCCCAACCCCCTCTTCTGAATAGCACCCCAATCCCCGTTGGTGGGAGGAAGTGCTTGTCACTCGTATAGAAGCTGAGGGGACAGGGGCTTCCTACCCCAGCACAGCCATCCAGAAAGCAGGTATGTGACACCCTCTCCGTCTCGGGACTTTGAATCCTGAGGGAGTGTCGCCAGGTCCAGGGTGGTCCAGCCCTCCAGAGTTTCCTGGAGGCTAGTCAGGTTTCTGTCCTTGGTCCTCCAGCCCCCACTCCCTCTGTTCTGTACTTCTATGACAGCCTTTCCCAATAGAGATATTTTTGGATAAGATAACCAGAGTCAGTTCGTGCTGCCTGCAACCAAGCCCTTAAGGGCTACGATGACGTAGCGTTTGTTCCTGAACCCTCAGAGCTGAGCATGTATTTGTCCACGTATGTCTGTCTCGATCCCCCATCTACACCGAAATTCTCTGAGAGTAGGAACTGTGCGTTTCTTCATACCCTCATCAGTACCAACCCAAAAAGCCTCCAAATATTGGTCAATTTACAGAGTGGGCATGCTAATAAATTATAGGTAGAAAGCAGCAACGTGCACGTCAACAAGTTTCCATAGAAAAATCAGTATGCATTCCAACGTCAGGCCAAAAAAGAAAACTCATTTTCTTATCTCCAGGGGAAAACACTTAACCAACATTGACAAAATGAATTTCTATTTATAAGAGAAAAATATGACACACTGGCTTATAATTGTATTGTCTCATTGGCTAGTATGCAGAGATACGAAAGAAAGACATGAGGCAGCGCCTAGCATCTGCACAGAGTAGCTGCTCAATATGTTTACTGAGCTGAAGGAAAGAAGTGTCTTGGCTACATAGTTGAGAAGAAACTTACTGGATCTACTCTGTCCCAAATCTCTTCCAGGCAACTCCCTCTGACAACAAAACTACCTACGAAGCAAGAGATAACCTCAGAGCTAGAATCACAGAAGACAAATCTTTGTGCTAGAAAACTCTGGCTGAAGCCATTTTACAAAATTCAACATACTTGTATTGAACTCGATGGTCCGGGGCTTTCCTTCTGTGCCATCTGTTGCTCGAGAATAAACAGTGGCCTTGTACTGTGTGTCAGGCTTTAATCCCAAAAGCAGGACTTGCGTGCCTCGGGTCAGACGATGGTCAGAGGATCGGTCTGCTGGTTCCAGGCAATGTTTGATCACCGGGGCAGTGGAGTTCTCAGGTGGGTGGGGCAAGCTGTCTGTGTTGTTGGTACCTGTTTCAAACACAAAAGCCAAAGACATTAACTGCAACAGAAGGACATCCCTGTCTTATCTCAGCACCCCTGCCCTCCTCTCCATTAAGATGACACGTAAGACAGTACCCACAGTTGGACTCCACAAATATCTGTTCCCTTCCTCCTCCTCCTCCCCAAACAGAGATACATCCTCTTGAATCATTGCACTTTGTACTTTTATTCCAGGTAGCACAACAGATATTTGTGCTTCTCTTTCAAATTCAGCTACTTGTAATCTCTCCCCCTTCTTTCGGGAAATCATCTTCTCCCACTCAACACCAAATGTGGTCCTCCAGGGACAGCCACATGATTCAAACTTGGCTAATCAGAGCCAACTCAAGGAATTTTTCCCCTGGACCACACCCCTGTTGATAGGGGGTGAAACAGGGGAACTGCTGGTGGCCACTTCTCCTTGAGTTGTGTGGAGGGAGCCACTCTGAGAACAAAGCTGATAAAAAGAAAGAAGCAAGACGAAGAGATGAGAGTCACCTCGTCTCTTTCTTCAAGGCCTTGCAAGCCAAAGCAAGGAAATATACATGAGCCAATAAGCTGCTCTTTCAGTCAAAGTTATTTAAATTCTGGTTTCTGTCACTGGCGATCAAGAATCTTAATGCTCACGGGCCGGCCTCGTGGCTTAGTGGTTAAGTGCTCGCGCTCCGCTACTGGTGGCCCGGGTTCGGATCCCGGGTGCGCACCGACGCACTGCTTCTCCAGCCATGCTGAGGCTGCGTCCCACATACAGCAACTAGAAGGATGTGCCACTATGACATACAACTATCTACTGGGGCTTTGGGGGAAAAAATAAATAAATAAATAAATAAAATTAAAAAAAAAAAAAAGAATCTTAACACTCACTTTGTAGTTCTGTATTTATGTGTAAAATGGGGATTAAGTACTTGTTCCTCTCAATCCACAGGGTTACCTCTAAAAATGCTATGAAATCTGCAAATGACTGCCCCACTGTCACCACAGAAGATGTTTGCTAGATTTGTCTGCAAAGCATCCCTTTTCTCAACGGATGTGGTAAGTTCCCCTAATGGCCCTACCTGGGTTAACCCATCTGTTATTTGTTCGACAGAAATTTTTAAAAAGCTAAAGGGGCCAGCTACTTCCCTGGATGCCAGGCTCCAAAAAGTTTCAACCCCCACTGCCAGTCTGAACCCCACTGTGCTGACCCATAAAATAAGCACATTTCCCTCTCCTTCCTCAAACAGGTGTGGAGTCAAACTACAAACCCTCTATAAAGTCTCAAACTATACATATATAAGCACAATATTTTTTTTAAATGATTAAGTTACTGAAAGTCAAAACCACAAGGCAGAGGAGAAGCACTCTTCTGCAACTCACCTAAGCAAACTTCTGTAACCAGGGGGTCTCTCTGTGTCTCATTTGGTTCTGAAAAATACAGGGTGACCTTGTATTGATTCCCCGGCTTCAGGTCTGAAATATTGACTGCTAGGTTTTGAGTCATCTCCTCAGGGCTTCCAAGGACTTCAAGGAGCATCCGGCAGGTAGCAGTGTCATTACCACTCCTCCAGGTAAGAGAGACTTCCGTCACACCCACCAAGGCAAAGCGAACCGCAGAAACCGGACTGGGCTCTATTTTAAAAACACACAATATGCAGTGATAGGACAAGATATTTGCAGTCACCTTGCATTAAGAATGACTGGGGTCATTGATGTTTCAACGTGACCCACTAAAAATACTTTCTTTATATCCAGAGTCCAGTGCAATGCCAGCATTTCAGAGCAGGAAAAAAACAATATATCATTATGCAGAAAGGAGGAGAAAGAATAAACCTTAAAGCCAAAATTTTTTAGGATCTGTACTGTTATCCGACACAGTTAACTCCAATAGTGATTTGACAGTCTTCTAAATTGTCACTTACAAGCAGCAGCATTTAATTATATTTGTTTTAGAAATCAGGAACAAAACATCAAATAGAGTGGCTGTTTGCTACATCTAAAGGTCTCGATTCAAGATACTACAAATAATATCATTTCATAGCACCAACATATTTCAACTAAGAAGCTCATCCCTGTGTTCCAACCCCAGGGGATTTTTCAGAAGTCTTCCCATCTACCTTCCCATCTATCTCCCCATACTATCCCCCACTGTTCCTTCCATCACCTTGTTTGGCTGTCAGTGACATAAGTCAAATCATTTCAGCCAAAAGGACATCCACTCTGTCCATTCTTGAGATGAGAACATGGAGATACAGAGAGGCGGAGTGACTTGCTCAAGAACGCACACTACTGGTGGCATCGAAGAAACTAGAACCCAGGGCTCCAGGTTTAAGTGTACAGAAGCCCAGGTAGCGGTGCAGATAGAGCAAAAACTCTGCCCGAGGTCTGCAGGTTGCTGAACTCGAAGATACTGGCCTAGGCGACTGGAAGGCACCGTGCAGCTCTGAAGTGAGTTGATCTACTCCATGATTCCATTCTTCACAGCAAATGTTTCTGATGCAAAGATTTCTAAATTGGGTCACCCATGTGTCTTTTTTGTTGTTGTTTTAAAGAAATGTAACACCAATAAACTAGCCAGCTCAATGACTCTGGGCAACTGTTATAAATATCACTATACTATAGTGGTTGGGAATCAGGTTCCCTGGGTTCCCACCACTTGATGTTCAATAACTCTGGGACCTCAGAAGAAACAACTTCTCAGCATTAGTTTCTTCCACCGTAGCCTTCAGGATTGACGTGGGGACAAAATAATGTATTGGGACAGCTAAGTACATAGTTCATGCTCCATAAACAGTAGCTGATGAACACAGCCTTGTCCTCAGGGGCTTTAAGATGGAGAAGGGATACTCTGATCCCGGGTTGGTGCTTCCCGAATAGTCCAGAACAGTCACCAATTCTGTATCGCCTTGTACCCATCACTATATCTAAATTCTATCTTCTTTTTCCTCCTTAACACTCTTCTATCTTCTCTCTGCCCTCTTCTTCTTTTCTACTCTCTTTCACAATATAATACAGCAAACCTTTATTGTGGGGTTTTATTTTTCTCTAAAATTGTGCTCTGAGGAGCTCAGGAGTTTTTTGAAGGTACCTGTGACACCCCATCCCTATAGCTCCCTGCTCTCTCCAGTTCCTTTTACTTATTGGGCTTCTGGGCAAGATTTTGTTTAAATAAATAGTTTTCTGGCAAAAAAAAAAAAAATGTTGAAAACCACTGGTTTAGTTTTGCCTGCTCCATGTGCAAAAGGTGCTGAGCCAGGCGGTCCCTTCAAGCCATGGGCTCCAATAGGTCAGGCTTCTATGGCCTTCACCAGCCAATGAGATCACATGCCCAGATAAGAAAACCAACAGAGGATCTCTATTTTAAACTTTTGGTTCTTTTCAGCTTAAAAAGAGCTTCTCATCTCTTTTTTATATTTTTGGTTCTCTTCAGCTTAAAAAAAAAAAAGAGCTAAATTTGCAGCTATAACAGGTGACTCAGGGTATTGATATCTAAGCTAAATAAAAATCTAAGCTTAATCAAATGTCACTGGGCTCTTATTGCATTTGAAACACACATTCCTCTATAAAGTATACCAAACTTTCACGCCCAACAGAAACTCCTAGGAATATAAACACAGCATCAACTTTCCTGGGGAGCTTAAAAGAAGCCTAGTAATTTCTGACACCATCAAGACACATTCCTAATGGGGTCTCTGCTCCCAAGTCTTAGCAGAAAAGTATTAACCAATAATAACAAAAGATTTTTTAAACAAGACAGTTGGAAGTAGTTAAAACATCCCCAAACAGATAAAACATTAATACTGAATGATCCAGCCAACTGAACTTCTGGGCTTGAAACAACACAGAATCTTTTCTCCTCTTCCATAGTTAATGAAAATTGATCTCTTTCCAACAGGCAACTGGAATGGACAAGGTCCTAGGATACAGGATGAAAAGGAATGGTTCATGATCATTCCTGGAAGCTGTTCCTCTCACCTGTTGTAACATTTATGTCCACCGGACGTCTGCTAGTCTTGTCAAACACTCCTGAAGTGGTGGAGGGTGGATATGAAGCTGTTGGACTTAAACCTGTGATGTCATTTCTTGTTGGATTTGCAACAGGGATCGTCGATGCAACATTTTCCATCTCACTCCTCATCGTTGGAGGTGGCTCACTGTTGTTAGAAGCAGCTATGTCATCGTTTTCCCGTGTTAAGGTCACACTGGTCGGACTGATGGAAACAGCTTCAGTGGAAAACACAGTACTGGATTCTATTTTAATATTGTTTCCAAAAGAAAAAGAAAGAGAAGTAAAAATTATATTTAAAAAAGAAATGTAAGAATAAGAACTGCTCTGTCTACTTTCCAGAAGTGAAATTTGCAATCAGAGAATTTCATTTCCCTTTATTTGCCTCCTGGACTTCCTTCCAACAAAATACCTTTAAACACATATCCACACATTTATGCATGTGCGTTAGTGAAACAAAAGGCTTTAAAACAGAGAGAAAAATGATAAAGGTTGGCTATGTTGGCTGTGACTTGAGCATGGGTTAAATCTGATAGAAGCTGATAGAAAAAGAGACCTAAGATGCAAAATGAGTCTATCTCCTGATTCTCAGAAAATGCTGCATGTGGAGAGGTGTTACATGGTGCAGAAGCATGTGATAACATTTTTGCCAAACCTTGATATCACGAGGCATTTCCATAGATTTCCAGCATAGAGATGGCAGCATAAAGAGAATAGCATAGCATAAAGAATAGCATAAGGAGGAAAGACTGGTCCCAGAATCCAGACCCGGACATAAGGACCTGCTCTGCCCCTTAGCTATGTGGCCTGGAATTAGTCCCTTAAAACCTCTCAGTCTCAGGTTCCTCTGTGGACACCTCTAATATGCTATATTAAACACAAAGGATTATTTTTAAGGCATGATACGGTAAACAAGGTCATTGGATTTGGACATTAAAAAAAATCTGGGTTCAGAGTCAATCCTGCTAGTCATCAGCCACGTGATTTTACTCAAAGTCATCTCAGCTCTCTGAACCTCACTTTCATCATCTGTCAAATGGTAAATGTACACGATCTTAAAACAACGGAAGCCACTATGGTTATTAACAGTAACTATAACTTCAAAAAGATGCATCCTAATTACACTCAAGATCGAGGAGTAACAACTAGCAATAAAGGAGTAAGCACAGGGAGTAAGGCCCTTCTTCTCGAGGACCTAGGGATTGGCCCCAGCAGAGTAAAGACGGTACAGGTAACACCACCTCAGCATGCACATGACCTTCAAATGACAGCACGGAGAGTGTGCCTTACCTGCATCTGGGAGATGCAAACATTTACCCAATCAATGAAAAAGGGCAGGAGAGGAAACAAGACAGAGGAAAAAGGAACAGACAGGGAAGAATCTTGTGGCCCATAATTCAATAAATTTCATGCCAGGAAGGCCCTCCAGACTTGAGCTTCTTTATAAAGTGATAAGTTCACAGTGTCAGAGAAGCATTTCTGGCAGGTTATTACTGTGGTGCCACTTACAATCAATGCTGACGATGGTGAGAGGATATTAACAAAGCAATAACCACGCTTACGGTGGTGGAGACAGCTAGAACAGCAGCAGCCCTGTTTTAAGCCTGATCATGACCCAAACCCAGTACCACGTGCTGTGCCTACATTTTCTCATTTATGCTTCACAACAACTTCATGAGGAAGGCTATGGCACCATTTTAAAGAAGGAGAAACGTGTTGAGAACTAAAGTTTGTTGATTCACACAGGGATTCTGGGAAGGTTTTGGAAAAGCAAGTTCTTAAGTTTCAACAGTTCAGAAAATAAAACACATTTAAAAATATGCTTTTAAAATACGTGTGTGCGTACGTATGTATGTATTTTTTTTTTTAAATAAAGATGAAGAAACTGAGGTCTAAGAGGACCAATGACTTGCCCAGGGCCACACAGCTAGAAACTGACAGACCCAGGAAGCAAACCTGGGTCTCTGCTTCTGAGTCTGTGCTCTTCAGTGCCACAGCACTCCAGGAGTGCTCAAAGAGGAGGCAGAAAGACAAGTGTTAGAGCAGCTGTCAGAGGAGCCAGGACACCCCTCATGCCAGGCAACAGGGCAAGAATGGAGAGAAGAGAGATACAAGAAGTAGTGGCTTTTTACTGTTGAAGCTCAGATCAAGTGATCGCAAATACACTGCGATCCATCCCAAAAGACAAGTCTCACTCACCTGTTGGCACGTGTCGGCAGCAGGTAATAGAGCCATTTGAAAATCTGATAAGATATTTGGTCCCAGAAACCGGCCCCTCAAATGAAGTCTTCCCGTCACCGTCTCCTTGGGAACGCCACTGAATCTGGCCATCCAAACCAGTCACATTTACTACTGAAAAGTTTCCTGGGGCCTCACTAATATTAATATTGGTGGCTGTAGACATGACTGTAACCAGATCACAGTTGGGGCCTAGAACACAGGAAAGAAAAACACGCAAACTAATAAAAAGGCACCTGCCACCATATGTTGGCTATGCAACAAGTTTTTTATTATAATTTTAAATGGTTCCTTCATCTTCCCTTCTCAACTCTGTGCATAGGTGTTTTCTTCTTTGGCACCAGTGATTCAAGCTTGCACAAGGTACCCAGCAGTTTATTTACCAAACTGATTAACAAGAAAGAAAAAGCAGTTACAGAACTCTCCCCATTGTTTGCACAGGCTTTGCATAATGACTGTTATTAACCGAGATTTGCTTTATTAGAAGGTTTCAGCAAGATCTGCCCCCTTTATATGACACTGGGAGAACATCCTAATTATTTTATCTCTGTGGTTCACAGACTTTGGGATTTTACCAATCAGAAAAAAAAAAAAGTCCCCAAATTTTAAGGACAGACAAAAGCTAGCAATTTTTATTTTTTCCAAAAGGTACATTAAAAAAAAAAACTATCAAATACTATTATCTTTATTTCTTATAGAAACGAATTATGACCAAAAAAATTAGTACGGACATTATCCCAGAATAAACGATGCTTTCAACTGCATATATTTACCTTCATTAAAAACTTATTACCATATCCTTTTTTCCCCCCATTTTACTTTAGACCAGGGAGGAATTCAATGGACCAGCACTAGCTAGCAACTGGGACTCAACCAAAATAATACACAGGAGGCTACGCCTGGTTTTCCAAAGGTTATACAAACCCCGTACACCATTTTAAAAATCATGGGGCAATATATCAACCCAAGAAAATACTTAGAGAATAATGGCACATAAAATAAATATAAATCACACTGCATAGAGTTTCAACCAAGTTTTTTTTTTTTTAAGTCACTCATGGATATAGGTTGGAAAATTAAAATCACAGAAAATATAAATTTTTTATTTGTCAGGGTTGCACAATTGATCAAGTTCTTTCTTTCACTTGCTGTTTTCACCCTCACTCCACTTCCAAAGAAAAATTGGAAACTAAGCGGGATTTCAGAAATTAGCATTTTCTGATTTCCACATGGCTGTTAGTGTTGCTGTGTCCATGGGGGGGCGGTAGCGAACAACATAAGAGAGGAGAGGGAAGTGGTACTTACAGTCACCTGCGCACACAATCTGTAACAGAAAAAGAAAACGGAAGTCAGCAGATTCATTCAGCCATGGAAAATGCAAATCAGAAATAAAGCAGTTGAGAATTTAATAACGGGGGTGGGGTGTTAGGAAGCACATTAAGCAAAGGCCTGCTGGCCGGGATCCGGGGGTGGGGACGTTGACTAGGGGAACTCAGTGTAACCGCGGGTCAATTACAAACAATGGATTAACTAGGTTATATGGAGGTCGACAGGCTGTTGACTACCCACTGTTTTTCCCCACAGATACGTCCAACACTGGGGCAGCTCCCCAGGTCACTCCCTCCTGCCAGTGCATCGTAAACTGAGGCCAAAAGACACAAATAGAGTTGAGATTCTCTGGGCCAGAAAGAAAGGAAAGCAGGACCATGACACCCCTTGCCCAGAGCCATCTTCAGGTCGCGACTGCAGAGTGTCAAGCCAGATGTGTCACGGAAGAAATCCACTGGGTTTGGGATTTTCATTGTGCAAAAAGGCATCTTCTTCCTTCTATCAGTAGGTGGCAGTAATCTTTTTTTTCAATCGTATGGTATGCAGCTTTGGGAAGAATGAATGTTTGAAACAGAGGGACCTTAAAGATTGTTTAGTTGACATCTGTCATCTTTAGATCCCTGGGGTCCTCAGAGATATTCGTCGTGATCCATAAATTATTTCCTCATACTTTAAAAACCTAAAATAATCCAAGGTTGTGTGTTCTATTGTTTAGTAAACACACCTTTTTAGTTAATGGTATTTTTCAAAGTATGGTCCTCATGAAGAGGACAAAAATCAAAAGGGATTCTAGTGGAAAAAATGTCCTCCAACTTCCCATCACACTTAGAATAAAATTCAAACTCTTAACCACAGCCTCTGTGGCCCCTCTGACCTCATTGCCTCCTCGCGCCCTTCACAATGTTCTTGAAGCTGGTTTCCCCCTTCGAGCCTTGACACATTTCTTTCCTTCCTCAAAAACACTCTGCCCCAGACCTTCCATGGCATGGCCTAAAATGCCACTTCTTCAGCGAGTCCTTCGCCAACCAACCAATGGAAATGAGCGCCCCTCACTCTCCATCACATCACTGGTGTGCTTTCTCCTAGGGATTTTCCTCAACTATCGTCAGTCTCCTCCAACCAAAATGTATGCTCCACGAGAACAGAAACCTCGTCTGTGCCCCACGCCTAGAATGGTGCACACAGCAGGCAGTCAATAAATGCCACTGAAGGAAAGACACTTGGAGGCTGATTATCCAGCCCGGTATTCCTTCTACTTCTCCAGCCATTTGCACTTATCAAGTAGAGAAGACAAGGACGACATCTCTTCTCTCGTGCGTCTGGTAGACAGAAGGAAAGGTCTGTTCCCCATCCCGCCTCCCAGCGGCCAGGCACCAGCCCTCAAAGGAATCCAGGGCTCTTCCTTTCTCCTCACTCCCTGAAAGCCTGGGGGGCCAAGCCCTGTTGATTCCCCTTCCCTACCCACCCCCCACTCTCAAACTTTCCATCCCCAGCACCCCACTCTACCCGCGAGCCCTCATCATCCCAGGCCTAAACGTTCTCAGCTCATCTTCCTGCCTCCTCAACGCCCCTCAATCTACACTACGCGTCAATCCACATAGTCCAGGATGGACCACGAGAGAGAGAGACAACCAAGGAGTTGGTTGCTAGGCAAGTAGCTCAGGGCAGCAAATCATTTTTTTGGCCCAGTAGTTGGATAACGTTAAACTACACAACCTAGTGACTCTAGGATGGCAGGTCCGAGCCCCTGGCGACGTTATTATCTCTTTGTAAGTGCATCTACGTGTTGTATCCTCAACTGGAGTCCATTCAGTCCTCCATCCATCCAGATATCACCTAAAAACATTAAAGGTCTGGGTCCCGCCCTCAAATTGTTTACAGGAAAGTAAAGGAAATGACATGTCTGTGAATAAGTCATTCAAAGGAGAAAGCGCTGACATTCATTCAACAAGCAATTCTCGATCACCTGCCTGTGCCAAGCACTGGGCTAAAGCAGACGGCCTCCATGACACGGGGGGCTCACGGCTGAGGAAGAAAGGCAGGTGAACCCAACCGCAGGAGGACAGATGGAGGGTGCCCCTGGGGAGGCACCATTCACTGCGTGAAGTCAGAGAAGGGCATCCATGGAGGCAAAGGGCGTGAGTGCACTTCAGCCTGCATCCTTTACAGTCCTGCACTCACTAGACACTGACGGGCTGATGGTCATGACATGGGACAATGTGCCAAAGAGCGCTGAGTTCTAGAGATCAAAGCGCAAGGATCATCGTCCTGGCGAAAAAGGCAAGTTTCCAGAGATTGAAATCATAGCTCTGACTCTGTGTTCTTGATGCATTTGACCTGATACGCACAGGGCGCTGACTGTGCCAGGCACTGTTCCAAGTGCTTTCAGATATTAACTCACTTCATCCTCCAAACAAGGATGTTTGGAGACCTGTGCCCACAAGGTAGGCACAGGTCCCTCGTGGGCTGGTGAGCTGCAGGGCCTGGATTTGAACCCAGGCAATCTGATTCTAGAATCTATGTTCTTAACCACCAGTCACGCTACCTCCCAATGTAAAGCAACTGGCAAGAAAGGTACTAGGACTTAGGGAAGGTTTAAATATTAATTTCAAAAGATATTATCCTTTCTTCTCTCTACCCTCCAAAAAATCCAGCAAGCAATGTAAAAGTGTTCTTTGACAAATCCGGGTACCGTTTCTACGCGCCATGTGAACACACCAGCCTGGGTCTCCTTGAGGCTCATCGTGAAACAATAGGCAGCATGATAACACACCGCATCACACGGCTTCACGTGATTCCTGGCCTCCCTGTTCGTTCTCTCTCTGATCGTGACCTCCCTGGGCCTGATTTTCCAAATAAAGCATCAACACTAATCCTTGCCTCAGGATCCAAGCGGCCTAAAGGACCCAGACTAAGACATGAAACAAGGAGACCTAAGAGAAGTTTGCAAGGGGACTCCTGGGGAAGAGCTCCCTCACTAATAAAAGGAAAGCATGGGAGGAAATACCATCCTGCTTTGATGGATTTCATTGGGTCTGCCCATGATGCCTGGAGCTGCTGCAGCCACTGTGTGACAAGGAGGCACAACTGCTTGTCGCCAATGCTTAGCACAAGGAGGGAAGAAACCACCCACCTGCTGAGGACGGGTGATGAGGAGAAAGAGGGAAAACAACTGGACCCTCGAGCTGCTAAATCGACCAATCCTAGACCCTTTCCACCTCCAGACTTCTTGCCTGGGGAGATGCAACATCTCTTATTATTTAGCTATTTTTGTGGGTTGTCTATTATTTACAACCAGGAGAACACTAGTTGATACAATAACAACAGCAAAGCAAAGTAAGTAATTTTCAGATTAACCCTCATTTTTACAGATAAACAAAGGGAAAGGCCAACAATCTGTCGCCCAGGGTCACTGAGCTGGTCCGTGAGAAGTAGAGCCAGGATGCAAGTTCCGGTCTGCCAGGCCCCCAAACTCTTCCACTGACCACAGGAAAGAAGACCCTCGCAAATGACATCCCCCAGGATACCTAGCATGGGGGACCCTTCATAAGTACTTTTTAAAAGGATACAATCAACAAAAAGCTCATCTTTCTAAAGTCAGCTCAAAGCCTAGTGGTGCGTGGGGGTGAAACGGGAGGAAACCAGTTTCCACAGAGTCATACACCGAGCACTGAAGTTAACTAACTGCAGAAAAAGGAAGTTGGGGACAACTTTCCAGCAGTGACAGCTAAACATGATGACGAGAATAACCTCAGCTCCTTCCCCTTCTAAGAGGACTCAAAAAGGCACTGGAGGTTGTTTATCCAGAAGGATTCCACAGAAACTGTCCTGCTTGTACGTGCCCTTCCACAACTGGTCCCTAACCCAGTGGCTCCACATCCTGGTAGGGAAAGAAGCAAGCATTCCACAGGCCCCATCTCATTTAATCCTCACAACAACCCTGTAAAATAGGAATTATCATCCCCATTTTACAGAAGAGGATACTGAGGGTCAGAGTACACCACGTGAGGTCACAGAGCTAAGGAGTTTCCTGGCTAGAATGAACGTGGCCCAGGCACAGGAAAGAGAGATGAAAAGAGGTGCTTCAGGCTGGAGATCAAACCTGCCCTTTCCACTCTCTACTTTCCCCTGGGCAGAAATTAAACCAGATAAAGGATGCAGAGCCAAGCCCAGTGCCAGGGTCACATCAGGTTCCAAGGTCTGTTCCCTTCTCTGTCTGAGGCTCCCAGCCTTTTCCCTCCTGGCTTCAGCAGAGTCAGCAATAAGAGGGTTATGAATGAGCCCATCCTGTGGCTAGGACTCAGGGGACACCAGAAGCCACAACCTTTGGACCCAAACTGACTCAGGGCACAGTGTTTGCATAAAAGACAGTGGGTGTCATAGCAGTACTAGTCACAATAGTCCAAAGGTAGAAACAATCTAATTGTCCACCAGCAGATAAACGGAACAAAATGTGGTATATCCATACAATGGAATACTATTCAGCCATAAAAAGGAATGAAATGTTGATACCTGCTACAACATGGATGAACCTCAAAAACATTAAGTTCAATGAAAGAAGCCAAACACAGAAGCCCACATAGTGTGATTCCATTTATATGAAATGTCCAGAACAGGGAAATCCGTAGAAACAGAAAGCAAACTAGTAGTTGCCAGGGGCCAGAAGAAGGGGAAAAGGAGAGTGATTGCTAACAGGTCCTGGGTTTCCTTTTGGGTAATGAAAAATGTGAAACTAGATAGAGGTGGTGGTTGCACAACATTGTGAATGTACTAAATGTCACTGAACTGGACACTCTAAAATGGTTAATTTTGTGTTATGTGAATTTCACCTCAATTTTTTAAACAAAGATAGTATAGGTGGGTGACTTGATAATCAAGATCAGCCACTGGGAAGGCAGAGGGAAAGGAAGCTTCCTGAAGGAGCACTATGGCCCGGGGGGTGATAAATAAAGATGTTTTGAAAAGTGGATTTGGACAGTCAGAGAAGCATGGGATCTGGATTCAGATCACCTGGAGGCAACCATTCAGTGCCACCACTTACGGGCTGTGTGACTTTGGGCAGGTAGCTTAACCTCTCTGTCCCTCAGTGTCTACATCTCTAAACAGGGATGGTAATCATACCCGCCTTGTTGTAGTGAGGATGAAACTAAATCATCTATTTAGCTGCTATTGCTATCATCATCATCTTTAAATCTTCACAGCAACTCTGTGAGATACTTCTATCCCCATTATATGGATGACAACACCAAGGCTCAGATCCTACCAACAAAACCAATGGGCAATCTGAAACTCATACTCTCCAAAGTATTTAGATAATTGAGCAACCACTCAGTTACATGATTGGGCACTGAGGCCCAGAGACAGTAAGTGGCTTACCCAAGGACACACAGCCAGGGAGGAAGCACCAAAACCAGAACCCAGGACCTCTACCTTGACCTCTACCTTGACCTCAACCACTCTAACCAAGCTTCCCCAACCCCTTCTCTCCTGAGATGCAGACCTGGATGGAGTACTCATAGCTCACCCTCCTTCTCATTACTCCCCTGCAGGGTCACCACACAGATGACCCAAGGCTTCTGCAGGCCGCCAGAGATGCACAAAGGAGCAAACACTGAGATGAGAGATGAAGCTCACTGACTTAGGAGGAAGGCGCACTGACATACGCAGAAAGAGTATGACACTGTCCTCAGTTCTACCAAGGACTTCCGGTTACCTAGATACCCCAGGTGCAGTAGAGACCCATCGGTCCACCAGATGGCTGGGCATTAACTGTGCCCAACAACACCCAACACTGCACTGTAGAGTCCTCTCCCTCGTCGTCTGCTCCTCGCTGTTGAGACTTCCAGCCTTGTTCATCATTCCCCTCCCCTAGAGATGTGTTCCCATTTCACAACCTCCTCTAATTACGCTGATGAGCAAAATTCTCTCTCCCCCTCTTTGGGAACCACCATCAGTCCTGAAAGTGTGGCTCCACTCACAAGGATCCTCCTCCGGGCCCCAGAGAAAACAAAACTGTTAACACTGCCCTCCATGCCATCCCAATTTGGCCAAAGCTGCAGCCATTACACCAGTGGTCCACTCTGAACAATGGATTTTTCCTCCTCAACACCTAAGTCACAGGAATCTCACTAGCCACATTTACCTAAAGCTTCTAAATTTTCCCCAACTCCTCTACATGTAAACACTACTCCTCCATACACACCAAAACAGACTCGCAAACAGTCTCTTTCCGGCTCTCCAAGTCCCTCTGTGACTGCCCCATTAAACCCGTCTCCCAGTCTACAAACTTCGGCATAACCTCTGACTCCTCTCCCCCTTCATCCCTCATGGGCACACTCAATGGCCACGTCCTAAAGATGCTCCCTTGTCCAACACACCTGCTGACTTCCCACTTCCGGCCTGTGGCCACCGTAAACCAAGTCCTCACAATCCCCAGCCCTAAATAACAGAAACAGCCTCATTCTAAGGCTGAGAAAGATTCAAGCCATTTGCATTTTTATTTTTTGAAGCTCTCAGCACTCACACAAGAGAAATTAAGAAGCGCCAGAGCAGGGTTCTATCTGCTGCAGTATATTTTTGTTTCAGTCCTGTCAGAGCATCGCTGTGACTCCAGCTAGAATTCCTCATTTAGAATATAAAAGGCCAAGACCTGAAGTGAGGCCCTTTGTGACCACCAAAGGTGAGAGCCAGGCCCTGTGCCTTCATCCACACACCCGGCCGCCTCTCTTCTCGTCTCTCCCTTCGATGCACAGTGGAAGATAAACAGAACTGCTAGACTGCTCTTTCTTTTTTTTTTTTTTTAAAGATTTTATTTATTTATTTTTTCCCTCCAAAGCCCCAGTAGATAGTTTATGTCATAGCTGCACATCCTTCCAGTTGCTGTATGTGGGATGCGGCCCCAGCATGTTCCGGAGAAGTGGTGCGCGCCCGGGATCCGAACCCGGGCTGCCAGCAGCGGAGCGCGTGCCCTTAACCGCTAAGCCACGGGGCCAGCCCTAGACTGCTCTTTCTAAAACATGCTAGTATTCATCGGGATCCTGGCAGGGACAGATGACACACCCAAACAAGGTAACTGAGGGGAGTTGAAAAGGGTCTGTTTACACGGGTGTGGGTGGGGTTAAGGGAAACCAAGAAGGGACGGGCAAGAATCCTGAGGCAGCAGCAGTGGAAAGACAAGGAAACAGGCTGAGGGACTGCATCTCCCCCATCTCCCTCTGGGGCTTCCTCTTGGCCGGCCCAACGGGAAGCCAGAGGTCAACGGCACCCCCTGGCGTAGACCATAAAGGTCAGCCTCCTCCTGGTGGGCAGAGCAGGGTGGAGACGGGTGGGCAGGGGTCTGCAGGGGTACACGCAAGATCCACGTCACATCACCACTGAGAGCCTGTGAATCTGGTAGCTGCAGCCCAGCACAGTGATCAAGAGGTTTAGGTCCAACGTCCCTGATGCTTGTGAGCACTGGGACTTGAGGGTCTCACCAAGCCATGGCGTTCATCAAGTATAAAACAGCGGAAGGACATATGCAGTACAGATCCCGTGTCTGAGTTCTCAAACAAAACAAGGTTCCTATATTCCCAGCCTAACAGCCCTCTTCCTGCCTCACCGAACCTCCCAAACTGCCACCCTTCAGCTCACTTGATGGCTTTCTGCGACCACTCCAGCTCCCAGGGGCTCTCCAGGCTCTGAGCCCCTTTCAGTCCAGCCCTTTTCCTGCAGCCCCGCACTGCGCCAGGCCCTGGGCGAGGT